TATTTCATATGAAATAAGTTTTTGTAAATATCATTAACAAACATTTCTGCATCACTATTATTATAATTACTAACTTCCTTGGATCTTAATAGCAACGAACTTGACCATAGAAGTGCAAAAGTGCTGACAAAGGCTCTTTATATAAATAATACATTAACTTCTTTGAATCTTAATGATAATAGTCTTGGCCTTGAAGGTGCAAAAGATTTTGCAGAAGCTCTTAGCAAAAACATTAATTTGACTCATTTGGGCCTCGGTGCTAATCAACTATATGCTCAGGGAGGAAAAGTATTAGCAAAAGCTCTTTGCAAGAATAACATTTTGACGTCTTTGGAACTTAACAGTAATTATTTTTTCAGTGAAGGAACAAAAGAACTTGCAGAGGCTTTTTATAAAAATCACACTATAACTTATTTCAATATTAGTGGCAATAGAATTGGTTATGAAGGAGGAAAGGTGATGGCAAAAGCCCTTTGCAAGAATAGCACACCAACTTTTTTTAGATATTAGTCATAATCAACTTAATTTTGAAGGAGGAAAAGTATTAATAGATTCCCTTAACAACAATATCACACTAATGGCATTGATTATCAGTGAGAATCAACTGGCCCTTACATATAAAGAAAACCTTGCACATCAGTTTATTCCTACTGGTTGTTATGAACTTTGTTGTAAAAAGCACTGTTTAAAAGAAGAATTAAAAAAGGCTGGTAACAGAATTATTAATGAATCATTATGCGAAATTAAAAAACGGCAAATGGGTTTTTGGGGATTTCTCTACTAATAAAAGAGCTTTTTAATAAAAGATAAAGTCAAATAAAAATTAATAAAATAGCTATGCTGATATATTGGGTGTTTTAGGATTGGTTGGTCATTGTTTGATTTGTTTGTGACTGTTAAAAATGAGTTCAGAAGCAAGTTTTCAAAAAAAAATTTTAATTTACCTTTTGTCTATTAAATATCGTAATCAGGGTTGAATTTACTATTTTTTTCTATTGGTTTATAATTCTATTCATTTTTTTTATTTTTCTATTGTAAATTTTTAATATTAAATTTTATGAATAAATATTAAAAACATTTAAAGTTATTATTTAGGGGAAATTACATATATGGGCCCAAAAAATGAAAATAATTAAAAATAAGGGGTCAAAGTTAAAATAATTGCATATAAGGGCCAAAATTTTGAAAAATATCACAATCAAAGGTCCAAATTTATTGTAACTAGTTAGATTGGAAGTTTTAACATTAAAAATTATATAAATATAATTTTTTGTACGTATTACAAGTTACCCTCGTTAATATCAACCTATTTAAATCATGTTGATAGTGATATTAATGAAAAATCATATTAAAGTTGATATATATAAGGGAATTCTAATATATAAAAATTTCTAAAATGTTTTATAGTTTAGGCTTATATTAACGAGGTTGATATTAACGGGGTACCTGTACCTTTTAATAAGTATTGATTTATTCTCTGAACTTCTTGCATGTAAAAATTTTTAAAAGCAATTTAAATTCTTTACGAATACAAATGAGCTTTTGCGATTCTAAATATCTTCGATTAACGCATAGTAACC